GAGGAACACCACTTACCACTTTTGTCCAGCCTGAAAATTTACCATTAATTACAACTCGTTGTACTCGATCCTTAAGCCAATGTTCTACCCAAGAACAAGAATATTCATCTAGACCAATTTCTTTTAGTTTGAAGACTATTGTTTCTCTCTTTACTGTTTTGATTTCCTTTATGTATTTAAATCTTTCTATCATATCCCCCCTGTCTCGTCTTTCCTCCAAGCTATACATGTTAAGATCCTTTAACCTTTCCTGGTAAGTTTTATCCTGCAATCCAAGAACTAGTTTAGTAGCCGTTCTCTAAACTCTTTCCAAAGTATCAATATCCTTTTGGAGATACGGTCTCCAGTACTGCGTACAATACTCCAAGTGAGATCTCACCAGTGTTCTGTACAAATTTCAGTGGTGTATTTAGGATTTGTGCTGCCCTAGGCAGGACGGTGCTCGGGCCCTCTATTTCCCCACCCCTACCTGTGAAAGCCGCACTTTGACTGACAGACGCTCACTCACTGACAGACGCAAACACACTCACTGATAGAGGCATACACTCATTGACAGACACACACTTTCATATACACACTGACTGTTTTGACACACTGATAGATATACATACACTCACTGACAGACGCACGCACTCACTGACAGACACATGCATTCACTGACCGACACATACACACTCACTAACCGACACACACACACACTGACTGACAGACACACACTCACTGACAGACACACACACACACACACTCAAATTCACTGACACACACACTCACATTCACTGACACATACACACTCACTCACATTTACTGACACACACACTCACTCACATTCGCTGACACACACTAACATTCACTGACACACACTCACTCACTCACATTCACTGACACACACACACGTCATATTCCAGCTCCCGGCATTACTGCGGGTCGCACGAGGGAGCTGAGCAGAGAGAGCTCAGGGGAAAGTGCTCCCTCACCGCCTGCCCAGGAAACAATGGGCTGTCTGTCCCAGGGGAGCCCAAAGGTAGCCAGCTGGCCAGCTCTTGGGCTCCCATAAAAAGAGGCAAACAAGGTATTTGCCTGGGGATTTGGGGGTGGCGTTTTTTGCCGCCCCCTGGAAATTGCCGCCCAAGGCAATGCCTTGTTTGCCTCGCAGTAGAAACATCCTCTGTACAATGGCATGAGCACTTCCCTCTTTCTACTGCTAATACCTCTCCCTATACAACCAAGCATTCTGCTAGCATTTCCTCCTGCTCTTTTAAATTGTCTGCCTACCTTTAAGTAATCTGAAATAATTATTCCTAAATCCCTTTCCTCAGATGTTAAGGGTTAGGACTCTATCAAATATTCTACCCCCAAAAACATTGGGTTTTTATGCCAAAGATGCATTATCTTGCACTCATCCACATTAAATGTTGTTTGCCAAAACTCTGACCATTTTGCTAATTTACTTAAATCATTTGCCATTTGGCTTATCCGTCCTGGAACATCAACCCTGTTGCAAATCTTAGTATCATCAGCAAAAAGACATATCTTACCATCAAGACCTTCTGCAATATCACTAATAAAAATATTAAAGAGAATGGGTCCAAGTACAGATCCCTGAGCTACCCCGCTGGTAATTAGACCTTGCTTTGAATATACTCCATTGACTACAACTCCTTTCCTGTAACTCAGCCACTGCCTAACCCATTTAACAATATTGGAATCCAAACTTAAAGATTGCAGTTTATTGCAAGCCTTCTATGTGCAACAGTGTCAAAAGCATTACTGAAATATAGGTAAGCAATGCCTACTGCACCACCCTGATCTATTATTTTAGTTACCCAATCAAAAAAATCAATAAGATTAGTTTGGCATAATCTCCCTGAAGTAAACCCATGTTGTCTCTGATCTTGAAATCCATGTGATTTTAGATGTTCAACAATCCTATCCATGGTTTCCATTACTTTCTTGACTACTGAAGTAAAGCTTACTGACCTATAGTTGCCAGACTCCTCCCTACTACCTTTCTTGTGAATGGGTACAACATTCGCTAATTTTCAGTCTTCTGGAACAAGCTCATATAGGTATGAAACCCAGCTGCTCACTTAAGTTCACCCATATAGTGTATCATATTATTTTGAAATTATATCCTCATTATTTTACCTAAGATAGGTGATTATATAAACTTTATAATCCTAGAGCTAGATTAGAATGGTGCACGCTGTATTATATAAATTGGTCCCTTCACTCACCTTGCATCCCGTTTCTGGCAGGTGCCGCTTTATACTACCCTCTTGACAGATTAAATGACTCTATGGGACATCTGTCCTCAGAGACCATCTGCAATTTCAGGTGAGGGCACACTGTTTTATCTGAGACAGGTGTTTTAGTAAACTTCATAAGTCTCAAACCAAGCTTGGATATAATAAATAATGTACTTGTAATCTCTGGATACATTACTAGTTAATTGAAGTGCCTTAGAATTTTTCTTTAAATGGTAATGGAAACATTTATCCTCTAAGGTCTGTCTAAAACCTGAAAATGTGGTTCTGATTGAGGCAGATTAGAGTTTTTAGACTGCATCCTGTCTTAATTTCAAATTTGGGCACTGCATCAGAGCACTACAAATTTCAGAACCACTGTTACTCAACAGCGTGATTTCACCTCAATACACAGCTCTGGGTTTTCAGAAAAAGTACATTTCAGTTTTATAATGGGGAAATAAGTAATCTCTTTCCTCATGGATAAAAGATGAAACTGCATCGAAAATATCATATCCTATGTATTAATTATTAACTATTATTTTATGAATTCTTTTAAAAATCCATAGTATTAACTTGAAACATCACCAAATGTGCTCATTCCACCATTTTCAACCTGAAAAAGGATCTACTGAGCTTCAGTTAGAATAAGATACCAATACAATTTAATAACATACCTAAGACCTATTAATCGTCTGGCAAGTTGGTTAAAATACATGAACTAAAGAACTTGGAGCACCATTGGGTAGACATGTGACTGTCAGACAGAGAGAATATACAGGCACTTCCTCCTTAAGACCTCAAACAAATTGAAGGTTTTAACCAGGAAAGGACTTTGGGTTTCGGGTGCCTTGGGCAAAAACTCTTTACAGAGCTCCTCCCTGGTCACATCCCTTTATCCAATACTTTGTATTATTTATATGCATCACCCAACCCATATGATCAGTAGGGTGTTTTACAAAATTATTATTATTTTTTTTTGTTGCAAAGTTGTAACAATACATCAATGTGGGTTAGACATAAGGATTATAACATATAAGCAAGACTGTTCAATACCCATTGATTACACCATATCTCTAAACATCTATTACATCCCCTTCGAGCATTATGGATGTCTGTGGGGTTTCAGCGGGTTTTGGTGTGCAAAGAAGGGTATTGGGAGAAGGAGACCTTTGTCCACCTCAGGCCTCTCACTCCTTGAGCTGCCGTCACCTATGATCCACAATGTATGCATCTATGGCTACAGTAACCTGGGAGGGGGAGGAGGATGGGGGGAGGAGTAGGGGGGAGGGTTGGCTATTGTGCGCCCTTGATGTCAGATTCCAGTGGGCTACCTGGGGGTATTTTGAAGATATGCACTCCAGAGTTCCCAGTTGGCAGTGTATAGATGGTACTTGTCTGTCATAGAGTGGCATGTCTCTTCCAGACCTCTGATAGTCTCAACCTTTTGTATCCATTCCCTTATGGATGGGGGATTTGGATTTTTCCATTATACTGGAATGAGTTGGTTAGCGGCCGAAATCATGTGGAATAGTAAGGTTGCTTTTGGTTTGGGTAATGTTTGGGATGGCACTAGGAAGATGAACATGTCCGGTATGAGCGGGAGATGTATGAATAGTATCATTTGAATTTGGCCTTGTATGCGTTTCCAATACTCTTGTATTGTTGGGCACGACCACCATATGTGCGCCGAGTTCCCTTCCGCCGTATGGCACCTCCAACACCTGTTTGAAAGTGATGGGAAATGTGATTTCAATTTGGTCAGGGTGTAATGCCATCACGCTATGCGCTTGTAGTTCCCTTCTTGTGTGAGTGTGTTACGTGATGTGTGGTGGATTTGTCTAAAAATATAACGCCAAGTCTCTGGCGTAAAGGCCTTGTTGAGTTCCTTTTCCCAGGAGGTGGCAAAAGCTGGTGGGTTGAGGGGTTGAGTGGCTAATGTCGTGGTGTACATCACCGAGATGAGCTTTTTCTTAATGGATTGATCGAGGCAATGTTGTTCAAATTTAGTTTGTGCTCGGTGTGGATTATGTGCGAGTGGTCCTGTGAGGACAAAGTGGGTGAGTTGTCTATATTGAAATTTGTGTATTATCGTTTGTGGGTCTATGAGGGAGCCAAGGGGTTTAATCTTTCGATCCCCTATACTCTCCATAAGGTCCCCTAGTTTTAGGTAGGCTGAGTCATGGTACGCCTTAAAGGCTTTACCGTCCTCTCCTGGTCTGAACAAGGGGTTGTGTGTGACCGGGTACAGCGGAGACGGATAGGGGGAGATCGTCTGGTGTTGTCGTAGTCTAGTCCACATGCGTAGAGTGGGAGAAATGGTAGGGTGTGGGGCATGAAGGAGGAAAGCCTGGCCCGATTTTTGCCATGGAATCGTAAATATTGGCGCCCTTAGGAATGTGTCCTCTATTTGTACCCATTGTTTGGTGGTGTTGGTGGATGCCCAGTCATAGAGTCTAGTTAGGAGAATTGCGTCGTAGTACTTCTAGACATCTGGGAGTCCGATACCTCCCTCCCCCCTCGGTCTAGTAAGAAGCGAGTGTGAGAGCCGGGGAGTTTTATGTGCCCATATGTACAATGAAAGGGTCTTGCGTACCAGCGTGAACCAGGTTTTAGGGATCATAATGGGTAGAACCTGCAGGAGGTACAGAAGTCTGGGCAATATGTTCATTTTTAATATATTTAGTCTGCAAAGCCAGCTAAAATGTGGCTTGTTCCAGGTGTTGAGGTCAGCTGTTATGTCTTTCAACAGTTTCGGGAAATTACTGTAAAATAAGAGAGACGCGTCTTTGGTGATGTGAATTCCTAGATATTTGATATGGTGGGGGGCCCACGTGAATTGATGTTCATTTTGTATTTTATATTTCTCCTGAGGATGTATGTGTATGGGTAAAATCTCACATTTGCTGAGGTTGGCTTTGAAGTTGGAGAGTTCGCTGTATGTATGCATTTCCGCTATTAGAGGTGGTATTGAGGTGCTAGGGTCTGAGATAGTGAAGAGCATATCGTCAGCGAATGCTGCTATTTTGTACTCCTTATCGCCCGCTGTGATCCCTTTGATTCGCGTGTTATCTCTAACCCCCTGTAAGAAGGGTTCTAAGACTAGCACGAATAGTAGGGGAGATAGAGGACATCCCTGCCTGGTGCCATTCGTTATTTGTACTGAGTCTGAAAGATGCCCATTTACTCTGATATTTGCTGTGGGGTGTGAGTATATGAACCATTTCTGCCAGTGGGGGCCAAAGCCCATGTGTTGTAGGGTGGATGATATTAAGCTCCAGTCTACCCTGTCGAACGCCTTTTCGGCATCAATCGACAGGAGTAGACTGGCTTTACAAAATTATTTGTACAAGCTGATAGTTGTTTAAAACTGTAAATGAGTATCACCCAGGGACCCTTTTAAAACGTACAATATAGTGGTGAAACATCTCATGTTAATCTGTAGCACATTACGAGAGTAAGTTTTACTTCAATGTAAATAGTGTCTATCAAAGAAAGAGGGATAGGAAGAGGCGCATAGAGCAAGACTTTAGAGTGGCCAGGCTAACACAGAGGTAGAACTAGTATGTAACAGGACTAGACTAGACTAGGACTAGACTAAATAGGAACACAATACAAAAAATACAAAAACACAATACCAAACACAGGCTAGGATCAGGAGCATGGAGAAAAGCAACATCACGAACAAGCCAGGGACTGGTACACTGAACAGGAAGTCAGAGAAGCCAAGGATTGGCACATAGGTCAGGTAATTAGAAAATCCAGGGACTGGAACGTAAAACAAGCTGCCTCAGGTACACAATGGCAGGAGAGCAGAACATAGACAGATACACCAAGAATCAAGACCAGGACAAAATTTTATGGAACCACAAAACAGCCTACATGAGCCAGAGAGCTCTTTTTAAATAGTGATGACCTGACTAATTGATTATGTTTCCTGGGAGTGATTAACCTGAAAGACAGCACTGACTACAGAATCACAAAGTGGGAAATGGATTCAAGTCCCACCAGAAGTACACTTCCAGACATTCCCCACCCATGTCACATGATACTGTCAGTTGTATTGCTTTGAAGCTTTGAGTTCCTCACATTTAACTTGACCTCATTGACATTCAAACTCCCAGTAATGTGGTGTGCATCTGCTTGTGACAGTAATGTGCATAGCTATAAAACACAACACAAAGTAATGATCATTTTAATGACATAGTTCTACAGTAATAAATCTGACAATACTATGATGTAATGTTTGTATGTGTTGGCTGTGAGTGGTATGCATGCAATGTGTGATGGGTGTTTAATTCAGATAAACAAAATACATGTTGGCAATTGACAGCAGCCACTGACTTTTGGCATGTACATTTAATTCCTGTAACATGGCACACATGCAGAAAATGATTTGTATATTACAATTTTCCATTTTTAAGATCTCCACTGCAAAAAAAAGTCCAGAGAAAGCTCTAAACTTGATGAGGTCTCAGGCACAGCTGAAATATTAGTCCCTCATAATACACAATGCTAAAGTTATCTCTATGAAGTAATTTGTATGAAATGGGTATTTTAATGTAATGCTTCTATGTAAAATATTTTTCCTTACTACAGATTGCTTTACATCAAGCCCACAATGGACTTATTTGCGGCCCGGCGAGCCACGAGTTTAAAACATGCTTAGTGTTAAAGCAGAGTAGGCACCAGCTTTCTCAACATTGCAGGTGTCTACTCTGGTAAAATTTACCTGGCCGGTGGGACAGGTCGTTTGGAGGAGCTCAGTGTTCCTGCTCCATACTGCGCCTTCGCGTGCTGTCTGTAGTGATGCCGGGTGCCAGAATATGACGTCATATTCCAGCACCCGTCATCACTAAACTGTGCGCAAGGGAGCAGTGAGGAGCAGAAAGGAGATCTCCAGACAGAAGATCCCCACGGGGAATTATGTGAGTATGTGCAAGAAAATGTGTCTGTCAGTAAGTGAGTGTGTGTCTGTCAGTGAGTGTGTCTGTCTGTGTGTGTCTGTCAGTGAGTGAGTGTGTCTCTGTGTGTGTATGTGTGTGTCTGTCAGTGAGTGAGTGTGTGTCTGTGTGTGTGTCTGTCAGTGAGTGTGTGTCAGTGAGTGTGTGTGTCTGTGAGTTTGTCAGTGAGTGTGTGTGTGTGTGTGTCTGTCTGTCAGTAAGTGAGTGTGTGTCTGTCAGTAAGTGAGTGTGTCTGTCTGTGTGTGTCTGTCAGTGAGTGAGTGTGTCTCTGTGTGTGTGTGTCTGTCAGCGAGTGAGTGTGTGTCTGTGTGCATGTGTGTCTGTCAGTGAGTATGTGTGTGTCAGTGAGTGTGTGTCAGTGAGTGTGTGTGTGTGTCTCTCAGGGAGTGTGTTTGTGTCTGTGTGTGTGGGTGTCTGTCAGTGTGTGTGTGTCGGTTAGTGTTGTGATGGCCGTGGCTGGACAGTGGAGTATCTGGAGGTGCACAGAGGCACGCAACGACACATCCCATTCCGACGTGAGGTCGACGTCCTCCACCTTCACAGGGTTTCAAGAAGTAGCGGGAGGATCTGCTTTGGCACAGGGTGGGTACCATTTGGGGTATACCAGAGGCCGGACTCCGGAGTCGCATACTGGTAGCGGCAATGTGAGTGGATTCTGCTTGTTGGCTAGAGGAGGGTGCTGGGATTTAGTAGAGGGGGGGACTGGGATTTAATAGAGAGGAGTGCTGTGGTTTAGTAGTGGGGAATGCTGGGGTTTTTTTTTATACTGTACTTTTCAAAATAAGTGTTTTTTTTGCGGCCCGCATAAACTTAAACCTTGTTTATTTGGCCCGTGCTAGACTTTGAGTTTGATATGCTTGCTTTACATGTACAGCGATGTATGCACCCACTATATACATTATAGCACTTATACATTCATAGAAGGACATACAAAAAATTCACGTAACATATCTCATACATATGTAGACACACACATTCATATACATATACAGACACATTGTTACATACATAGGCACACATGAACATAATATATTTACTTATATACGGGATTTTTTACCAATGTGAAAATTGTCAAGTGATTTTAAAGTGAATTTCAAATTTAAGTCCAAAATAGCATAAATGAAAGCATAGCTGACCTGGATAATTTTTCTAGTTTGGTTATTTGGGTTTAAATTTGAAATTAATTTTGTATTCCTGACAATGCTCTCTTTAGTGAATAACCGTGTCAGATATGAACTAACATGCACCATCACATTCATCACAGACACAGAGCTTCATCTATGCATAGACACATATCATCACATACACATACACACCACAACGTAACAGATATGCATACACACATTAACACACAGCCACATTCATTCAAAGACACACATACACATACCAAGCTTAAATAACTCATGTGTCTTGAGTTTCCAACATTGTTGCAGATCATATGCTGTAAAAAGAATTTCACAATTTCTTTCAAATTGTTTTTATATATACATTTTTCAATAACAATAGAGAAGAGAAAATAATTCTAACCAAAAAATGGGGGAAATACAATGAACTATCATCCAATAATATATTTTAAGTGTATATTAAAGCAGAACTATAATAATAATAATGTTTAACAGTGGTAAAATTATAATGTCGTATGTGTCTTAAAAGGTTGAAATATTTATTAAAAAATAAAATCTAAATAATAATATTTTACCATCCGGTCTAGTGCAGGTCTAATGAAAAACTTATAGGCCATAACGGCCCCTGACACCCGCTTACAGAGTGCCCATTCATGTTTCAGTAAGTCCACAGCAGCAGAAGGTATCTTAAAGGCCAACTCACACCTCTTCAAAAACATTGCTCAATACCTCAGTCATAGATGGATTGGTATCAGACTTCCAATACCGAGGGAGAACTGAAGTTGCTAAAACTAAGAGATGAGTCAAAATAATTTTCTGTAGACTGGGACAAATTGTCTGGGAGTTTCTTCAGGAGGCACAATTCTGTTGTAATAGTATGAACCTGATATGTAATGGTGTGTATTAGTGTATGAATGTTGTTACAGTAGCTGTTCAGCTTAGGACAGGACCAAAAGATGTGGGATAGTGTACCCATCTGCCTGCACTCCCTCCAACATGTTTTAGTTCTAGATGAATGTTGTTTAAAGAGCCTGGAGGGAGTCAGGTACCATCCGTAGAGATTCCAGAAGCGCCACAGACTGTTTTATTCCCCGTAGCGCAAATAGAAGCCCATGCCACACTATACTCCTTGTTCAGTTCACTTTCCCATCCTGTCATATAGTCTAATTTTGGACCAAGTTCCCCAGCAAAAAAGGCATAGCACATAGAGAGAGTGCGTTTTCGATCAGGATCCGAGAGATAAATCTTTTCTAGAGTAGACATGTCAATTTTGCGCTCCTCCAGGACCTGATCAGAAACTTTAAAATGTTCTCTAATTAAATCAACCATCTGTCTATGTACAGAGGCCACAGAGGCATCAGTCCAAATTTGGCCTGTAACTGGTCAACAGATAAAAAAGAAGAAGAGAGAAATAAATCATTAATACATATGATTGAATGGGAAAGCCAATATTCTACATCTAGATCAGGTAATGCAGGTTGCAACACCGACAAGGGGGTAGCTCTGGACCAGGTAGTAGAAGGGTTTATCTTTTTATATAACACATCCCAAGCCTTAATAGTGGCTTTGGTACTTGTAAACATATTCGCCACCTGCTGTCACCGTGCAGGAGGCAACCATAACACATCGTTGATAAAAGTAGGTAAACTTTTTGTAGCCTCCATCTTGAGCCACAGGGGACGACCTTGCTCCAAGTTGAGTTTAAATGCCATGGCTGCATTAGTTGCAGAATGGTAATGGCTAAAGTTTGGCAAACCCATGCCTCCACTAGTTCTGAGTGTTTGTAAAATGGACAATGGGCCACAATGGACACACCTTTCTGGTCCCATTGGATAGAGTAAAGCTATTAAAAACAAACCTATTTGCAAATACACAGCCCCAATAACAGAATCAGA